CGGGTTCTAGTGGAATTTATTAACAGGAGCAATTTTGATGAATTGAAGAATGAGAAAAACGTTTATGATTTTATGGAAAAAGAGAAAATTGATATGATTCCGGATTTCCTTCTCTATGGCAATCCGATTGATTATAAATATTTCCAAGCCAGTCGTCCTTTGGAGTGTATAAAAATATTCGCCTTCATTCGAATGACAACGAGACGAGAATTCACATTACTTCTGAAACAATTTCTCTACATGATGATAATATTTGCCATACTAACAATTATCCTTTCAAAAATGGCATCTTTCTTGAAGCTAAACCATAATTTTTGGAATCCAATGAGTTTGATTCAAATTTTTTTGGGTGTTAGTCTAAACAGTCAACCAAAAAAGTTAGTGGATAGAATTATTTTCGGTTCATTGATTCTCACGTACGCGGTTTATTCGGCAAAAATTTTCGAAGCACTCGTCAATATTGGCGAAGTGATTGATTTAGAGTTACCTGTTAAATCTTTGGAGGAATTAAATAATTTAAATTATTATTCAATGATGACGAATTATACGAGGAATATAATTTTGGATAGTCAAAATGAACATGTACTGAATTTACTAAATGGAACGAATTTAGTTAAAGAGAATGGCGAGTGTTATAAAAAAATTGTAGATTTAAGAAATATTACTTGTATCGTTGCTACTAATGGTAGTCGAATGGATTTAATTTTATCCGTGAGATTTTACGATAAATTAAAAAAACCAACCATAAAAGCTTTAGATTTCTATTTAGCTGAAAAATGGATGTTTTGGTCACACAAATCAGGTTCTCCGTTTAAGGAAAAATTCGATCGTCTATTATTGAAACTTTTTGATTATGGTTTTTACAATAAATACATGGAATTTAGATTGAAAAAAACTGATTATGAGACGAAGATTCATAATGAGAAACATTCTATCAAGCAGAAAGTGTTTTTTTACTGTGTGTTTACTATTGGTTCTTGTTTATCAATTTTTGTCTTTATTTGCGAATTGCTGGTTAATAAATACTTTAAATTATACTTTGCTGAAATTGATAATATTTTGTGAATAAATAATAAAAATGTGTAATCAAAAGTTGAAACTATGTCGTATAGATTTCGTTTTCAGTGAAAACTTAAAGATTTACTTTTAAAAAAATTATCGGTGCCATTATAGAAATCTAACTTACCTACTGATGGTAACATTGCCATTGCAGAAAACTGCGTTAACCAACTGCCGATAAGTTGCAAATATAAAAATAGACAAAAATTAAACCAAATTGTAGAATTCATCGACATTCGAATTAAAATCTACATTATAATTATGTTATTATTATCCAATAGCATCATAATAATAAATAAATAATAATAAATTAATGGTAACAAGAAATAATATTTATTTGGTTTAGTTTTTTCTATTAAAAAATATTTTTAGTGGAAAAGGATAAAAAATTTCTTTTAGTAAAAAAAAGCCGATTGAAATGGTTTATTATAAACGTTGACAGTATCTCCGGAAATTATTCAACTGAAAACTGAGGGGTGGGGGGTGAAAGGTACAAAACAACAGGTTTTGACATGCCTTTTAATTAACACAAACTGCCATTTCAAGTGTAAACGACGCAAGGGGTTTATGATGCTCAGGAAGCATGTATCGCGAGAACGTCAGAAGCAGCCTTTGGTTGCAATTCGAGTTTGAAAACCGGTCCAATTGCGGGCGAGTCTACTCTCTCCGACCCCTCATCTCTCTATTTTAACAAAACCGTGATCCCACGGACAGTGAGCGAGAAAAGTTACAACAATGATGAAGAACATTTTCGACGTACTGTATATACATATATATACAGAGAAAGGAGAGAGAGAGAGAAAGAGAGAGATGCTTCATGTCTATCCACACGTGCGCGTGTGCTATTCCATTATCCGAATTGGCTTATTGAAATTTCTCCGGGTGACAGGGAATAGATGGAGATTCATTCATTTGGCCACACTTGCAGATGTAGGGACGACGACGTGCAATATGTAAGCTTCCAAAGTTCCATATAGATAGGAGGATGTACGAATATGCCCGTAAATGCTTACATGCATTTAAAGTTCGTGTGAATCTTGCGAAACAAAAATAGGAAAAAATATGGAGAGATGAAAGGGTTCCTTAATTTACTATCTCTTCGAAAGAAAACTGCAAATGCAAACAAAATATTTGTTTCCTCTTTTTTTATTCCATAAACATTTTGTTTGATTTTATCAGAAAATTAAGTGAATTTTCTTTCAATTCTTAGTATTTTGAAAAACAATCAGATAGTGGCAAAGTACCATCGGTCGGTAATGCAGATATCTGTAATGGTAATGTCCCAACAGTTGGTAATAACATTATTATCGACGTACTTACACCGTAATGACGCCTAAATTCTCAATCGCAAAATCCTTAATTATATTTTGACTTCAGCTTCTGGTGCTAAGAGAAAATGGGGTGAAATGTAATTGGGTATTTTGGAAAAGTACCATTCCTAAAATGACAAAGTACCATCAATCGGTGATACAGATATCTGCAATGGTAATGCCGATCAATTATGACTGATATGTCGCCTAAATCCTCAATTGCAAAATCCCTAATTCCACTTTGATTTTAGTCTCTGGTGTTCATGGCAAATTAAGTGAAATATATTTGGAGATTTTAGCAAAGTACCATTATAGTAATGGCAACGTTACTATCAATCGATTGCTAAAATTGTTTTTAATGGCAAAGATGATTAATTTCATAAAAATTTAATTTATACAATGAACCATCAAGCTGTAATTCAGATTTCAATAATGGCAAAGTGCCATTTAGTCGGTTATTTAAATTCCTGTAATGGCAAAATACCATCGGTCGGTAATTTAAATTCTTGTAATGGCAAAGTAATATCTGTCAGTTATTTAAATTCCTATAATGACAAAGTACCATCAGTCGGTTATTTAAATTCTTGTGAGAGCAAAATACCATTAGTTGGATATTTAAATTCCTGTAAAGGCAAAAACCATCAGTTGGTTATTTAAATTCCTACAAAAGCAACCTACTATCAGCCTAAAACCTACTATCCATGAATACAAACTCAAGAAAAGTTCATTTTGCAAAAATTACCAAACAATAGAAAATACTAAATTTAATAAAATCGTCTAAAAGAGCGGTAAAAGTTGAACATTCATTTATTGCCATATTGAAAAGTTTACGAAGCGTATAACGGATTTCCTAATTTAAATGGTATAATTAGTTGGCAATTTTCCTTCTTTTTATTCTATATAAATTTTATAACGCTGCTCAAGAAACTTCTTTTTTTCTGACCTTTCCTCTACTCTACATTTTACGCCACGGTAAATTTCCATTTTCCAATAAAGATTTCCGGAACGGCTAGATGCATTTCTGCTTCAGTGGACTCTAAATCCCGAGTGGTGCCGTACATATGTTGAAGAATTCCAAAATCGAACTCAGAGCCAGAAGGCAGATATTTAACTAAGAAATGTACGCAAGTCTCAATTGGGAATTTTTTTTTGAATAACAAAAATTTCGAAACAGAAAATTGGAACTATACTTTATGAAATTATTTTTCTAGAGTAAACTAAAAATTAATTACACAAGACAGTAAGTTAAGTGTCTACTGAAAATGTTTGTTATCATTAAAGACGACTGTTTGAAAACGGAGAGACAAGATTCTTAATTTGTTAGTTCAAGACATTGTTTACATTTTCAGTATAATAAAATGTTACAAAGAACGGAAATGACATTAAGTGTGTCGAAGGCTTTTTTTAAATAAATAAATTTGTTCTCTTATCAATTACTCTGGGGCAAAAATTTGTTTCTAAATAAAAAGTATATTTTAAATAAAGTAATTTTTTTCCTCAACTTCTAATTTATCCAGAAATCATATTTAGATTATTAATTTCCTTTCCCTAAAATACAGTATATCTATAACGAAATTTAAAAGTGGGTCATTGTCGCACGCGACATGGCACGAGTCCGTTTTCTTTTCTTTAGGAAAAAAACAACAGTTGTAGAATGAACGCGCTGTAATCGTTTTCCGGTACCTCCTTGTACTTTAAAAAAGTAGGATGCCACCTACCCGGAAAAGACTTTGGCCCTGCTCCCTACAAGGACTAAGGATTTACGACAGTCATAAAGAACTAAAAGCGTTACGGTAACTTCTGAAGGCAAGGCACTTTTATTTCCGCCATACATTCGCAGACGACAGCTTTTGAACATATCTCGAAAAACCTACAAAAATAACAATGAACCTTCTTCTCATATCTATATGATTACTTACAATACTTCGATTTCTACGATAAAAACTTTTTTGATAAAAAAAAGAGAGAAAAGAGAGTGAGAAACTTTTATACATTCTTCATCAAAAATATTCCGAAAGAAAAACCAACAAATATAAGGGGGGAACAATAATCTGCTGTTATTTCGCAGTTAAAGAATTTTATTATCGGGCAATAATTGAAATAGTCTTTTTGTCGAATGCTTCCCAGGGAGTAAATGGTAATACGTACCATCAGTCGGTTTTTTAAATTATTTTTTATTGGAACGATAATTAATTTTATAAGCTTGAATTTAATTTAAACAGTAAACCATTAATAGGTTATTCAAATGTTTATAATGTCAAATAACCATCAGTCGATTATTTAAATTCCTGTAATGGCAAATTACCATCAGTAGGTAATACAGATATCTATAATGGTAATGTACCAGCTGTCGATAATTCGATTATTGCATTAATACGTCTAAATCCACTATAAATTCTCTCAACAACTACCCAAATGTAAATTGACCTAAAATAGGAATAAAGTCCCGAGAACGCATTTGATAATTAAAGTCAAATTTTTTCACGATTTTTAAAATTAAATTGTTTGCCGAAGATTAAAAATACGAATTTAACTTTTATTGTCGATAAAAAAGATTTTTTTTAACAGGAAAATTGCAAATTATTTATATAGCATTGCATAAAAACCCAGGATAAGAAAAAGTTGACTCACCGATCGTTGGATTCCACTTCGGAGAAATGCGATGACTGAAGAGTTCCTTCTGGTACCACTCCTGAAGATATACTGCAAAGAAAATTTTTTTTCATAAATACATTACTATGTATAAATTAAGAACAAATCAAATTTATGTAACTTAATTATTTACATTTCTAGTTAATAATTTTTTATCAGTTAGTAGTTCCTATTCTTGTTAGGAGAATAAAAATAAAATAAAAATTTTTTAAATAATTTTTAATTTGAACACAAAATTTTAACTAAATAAACCGATGATTTTAAAAAATATTTCCTAGAAAGAAAATTCTCTTTCGAATGAATAAGCCATAATAATGAGAAGTGGAAACATTCATAAGAGTAAAGAGACATAATTAACGAAGTGAAATGGGGGAAAAGTGCGTAGATAAACAATAAAATTATATTGATCATATAGGTATTAGAGGTCACAATAAAACATTTCAATCCTTTTACATATACGCATGCAAGTCCTTTTAACAATGAAATGCACTCAAACAAAAACAAAGCTGTTCTGACAAGCTTATTGATATACACACAAGGACATGGGATTAATATTGGTTTATATAATAAATTGCTTCTCATGTGGAAATTGAAACAAATAAAATTTACCTCATCGATTGAATTCATATGGAATTTACTAATAAAAGATATAAACTAAAAGGGAATAAATATTAAAGAATATTTTTTTTATTCTGTAGTACAATTTATATTTTTTATTAAAATTTAATACAATAATTTTGAATGGAATGTAAATATTAATAAAAGCTAGTAATTTTTCAAAAATATTGATTTGAGTAAAAAGCAATAAATAAAAAAAATAAAATAGAAATTATTTAAAACATTTAAAAAATACATTTAAGTATAAATAAAAATTAATAAAAAAATTGAAATTATAAACTAACATAAGAATTTATAAATTTATAAAATAAAAATATAAATAAAAAGTGTTTTTAGAATTAATTAAAAATAAAATATAAAATTAATTAAATTAGTACCGCTATTGCTATTGTTATAATAAATAATTATCTTATCAAAAATAGTATAAACTATTACTATTTACTATAATAATTTAACGGATATAAAATTTATATTTAGTTTACATTTATAAATATTTTGATTAATTTATATTTATGAATTAATATATAATATTATGAATATATTTAAAATTCTATGAATCATAATAACACTATTTTATAAAAATAAAAAAATTCTCTCACATACCGTCAAGGTGCAATGACCTACACTAAAGATAACGTTTCGTCTCGATAACGTATTCGATACTTGAATTTAAAATTAAATTAAAATAGAATTCTAATAATTATAAAATTATAAATAATCATTTATAATTTTAAATTTCCACAATAAAGTAAATAATTACATACAATTTTTTATTTTTATATTACAGTTTTAAACTTTAATATCACAATTTAATTTCTTTTATATTATTTTTATTTTTATAATAAAATTTCATAATTTTTATAATAAATGATAAAACTTATATTTTATAATTTATTAATAAATAGCAAATAATTATTTTATAATGCAATCGATATGAAATATAAAGCTGTATAAAATAAATATTTATAATAAATTAATATTTAAAAAAAAATTAAATTTTAATCTTTTCAGATAATAATATTATAATTATTAGAATTTTGTCTGTTTAGAATTATTTGAAATAATATTTTATTTTTGTTTTATAATTTTATATAAATCTAAGAAGTATAGTAACTTAATAGTGGAATAAATGTAAATCAAGACTCTTTTCTGGGCGGGGCGAGTCAAAATTTTCGGAGTGGGGATACGAGAAGAAGAGAGATAGAGAAAGTGAAGTACGGCCCCTTTCGCATGCTATCTCACTCTTTCCCACATCCCCACTTCTACTGCAAAGGTAACTATCGAAATTGAGGCGTTACCTTTCTTCTACTCTTTTTCTGACTTTTGGCGTAACACTTTCAAGAATATTTATTATAAATTTCGAAAAATTATTATTTAAAATATTAACAATAATATTAAATCAAACGAATGTCTTTGTACCTCTGCCTAATAACCGTTATGGACAAAAATCAATTCGGTCGCCTGGTGGACACTATGGAAATTTCATTCAAAAGCACTAGAGTGGGAATAAGTCAGCGTAGGCTGAAAATAAACAGTGAGAGAGATAGAAAGAGGGGAAAAATTTTCTTTCTTCAAACCATTTTTATATGGCACAATTAGGTTATTCCAAAATTATTATAATTCTCCGCTAATAATGCGAGTCAAATTGAAATGTTCATCATCTTTTCGGATCAGCGAATCGTATAGTGTGGTTTTAGGAGAGTTAAAGACCCATTCCCCCTTATGGAAGAGTAGAAGGGGGGGGGGATTTAAACCGCAGACGCCTTGTATCTTTTAGAAGGGGGACTTGAACTCTCCTAGACAAAGAGATCTAATATACCCCCGTGCACTTGGTTACATTAGCCGGATTTAATTTAAATCTTACTTGAGATGTATACGCAACGAATGTACACCGCTTACGGCAGAATGTTCGCACGCTATCCCAGCTTCGTGCATGTCGCGTTACGTTATACACTACACACTATATATACCCGGTAGCACGCGAGACTTCAGATGGTGGGCACTTTATTGTAATTGTGATGTCGCGCGAGCTCAACTATATACACGCTTCACCTTTTAATATAAACCCATTTTCGTATAGTCCAAGATGGGACAACTTAATTAAGATCAGAAAAATTTTAATTTTGAAGTAACTGCTGCTCTTTAACTGCTAAAATTGTATTTTATGCTTTTTAATTATTCTAAAACAAGTTCTTTTTCAAAAACATATTTTGTCAAGTTTTTGAGGAAAATTTCGCCCCTTGCTTTCACTTTATGTCTTTCAATTTTTAGTTTTTTTTTTGAAAACTCGATTTCAATAGTGGTAGAGTACCATCAGTCGGCAATGCAGATATCTGTAATGGTAATGTACCAACAGTCGGTAATTCCATTATGAACTATCAATCGGTTCTTCAGATTTTTATAACGACAAGAGACCATCAGTTGATAATTTAAATTCCTGTAATGTCAAAGTACCATTAGTAGGTAATACAGATATCTGTAATGGTAATGTACCAACTGTTGGTAATTCCTTTATTATCGACGTACTAAAACGGTACATCACCTAAATTCTCAATCGCAAAATCCCTAATTATATTTTGACTTCAGTTTTAGGTATTAAAAACAAATTGAGTGAATTGTAATTGGGCATTTTGGCAAAGTACCATTTCTAAAATGGCAATGTACCATCAGTCGGTTTTTTTAAATCATTTTTAATTGAAACGCTAATTAATTTTGTAAGTCTGAATTTAATTTATACAATGAACCATCAATCGGTTACTTAAATTTTTAGAATGACAAGGAACCATCAGTCGATCATCTAAATTCCTGTAATGGCAAAAGTACCATCAGTCGGTAATATAGATATCTATAATGGTAATATGCAAAAATGTATAGGATAAGAAAAAATCGACTCACCAATCGTTGAATTCCATTTCGGAGAAATGCGAAGACTGAATAGTTCTTTCTGACACCACTCCGGAAGACAAACTGAAATGAAAAATTTTTTTTTCATAAATACATTACTGCATAAACTAATTGTCAATCTTAAATATTAGAAGACAGGGTAGGGTCGCTAGCGGAGTCGAGAGTCTCTGATTGGTCGATAAAGTTACCGGTAACATTACCCGTTAATCAGAGACCGAGTTAAACAAGATTCGCCCGTTTTATGATTTCCCTACTGACTCTCTTCAAAAATCGTGTAAATACTATAAACAATAGTTAATAATTCGCAAATAAATTTACTACAGAAAGAAAAAAAAGTTAATCCCTGTCCGGAAGAAGCCCCTCAAGTTTCTTGTCTGTCTGAAATATTTCATTATTGGCACGAAAGGGTTACTACACTTTGGCAAAATGAGCGAATCCAAAGATTCGTTTATACCCACCACAAAAGAAATTCTTTTGTAAACTTGGAAGGAACAAAGCTTAATTTTTTATGCTTGAGAAACGAATTGTTCCTCAAGATCTTTCCTTTTACATATATAACTATATATATAGCAAAATATCAAAGGAATGAAAATTAAGGGGCAGAAAGAAGGAATTGCAAAATAAGAGAGAGAGAGAGAGCGAGAAAGAAAGAAAAAAACTAACAAACGGAAATTAAGTGTATAATTTCAAATTGTGCGCAAAGGTATAGGATTTTTATCTCGAGTGAAATATAACTGAAGTTTGTGGTTAAGGAAAATATTTTTCTTATAGATACATAAAGTATATTGTATATTATATACATACAGAAAGCCGCGACGAAGACGAAAGTCGTAAATTTTTGATCTTCCAGTATGAAAAAAAGAGGAAAAGAAAAAATTTCTTTTTGCCAATAAACTCGAGATTGGAATAGTGCGATCAGTGAGCAGGAAAGTTGAATGTCAATGGTATGGAGCCAAAAAGAGATTTTCTTTATGGGTCAGTGTGAAAAATTTTACACTTTTTTTTAAATGTAAATTTCCAATTTACTAATGTCTTGTAAATCGGCCATTATTTTTATTTTCAATTTACTGTTTGCCATTTCAATAACTTTCACTTTTTGCGCAAGATTTACAATTTTTTTTTAAATAATTACTTGGAATTTCCGATTTTCGTTTTCTTTAAGTCTAAATTGAAGTTTTTCATTGATTGTCAAGATTAAAGTTTTCGTTGAACGGAAATTCGTCAGAAATAGAATAAAATTTCCGATTGAAATTCAATCCGAATTTCAAGATAATTCCCTAGTTTTCGCTTAATGTTTCTCTAAAGAAAAATAAAAGAAAGATCAACGGGAAAATTTCTTCTAAACAAGTTTTTCCGAGGAGTCGAAAGTTTTATCTTTCAAATGTTTTGTCACGAGATATATATAGTCTTTAAAAGGTCATTCCTTTTATGTGTTTTACAAACTAGGAGAGTTTTCTTTTGAGTAAAAATTACCAAGGTGTCACACTGCTTCTAATTCCTAAACGTATACCACGTACGATTCTCAAAGTATATACGTGCCTCCGTGGAAAACTTTACTGTCCCCGATCAAAGGGAATTCTTGGTCATGAAACTTCTGATTGCTTTTCTTCGACCCTTTTTACCTTTTTCTCTTTTCTCTCTTTTTCTCTCGTCCCATATTCTCTAATACTTTTAAGATCCGACTCCGCATAGGTGAATTAGCCGCAAGTTCTTTTCTTTTTCAACAGCATTAGCATTTTTTGCAATGGAACGAAAAGTTTTTTTTAAAAACAGAAAATTAAGAACTTTGCTAAACAAAATATTCTAAACTGTCATAAAAAGTTCAAAATAAATATTATTATTATAATTATTATTAATATTATTATGAATAATAATTTTATTATTTTTATACTTTATATTTATAACGAAATACTCGAAGTATCCAATAATTATGCTTTTTAAGAAATTGTAATTATTACAACGAATGACATTTGTTGTCACAAACAACACTTGTACTGGTCAGATAGTATTATCGAAATTTAACAGAGCATTCATTCAAATTGAACCCATTGTATATGAAAATACTCGTATTCTCTCTCTTGAAATTTCGTCCCTAATTAAATTTCATTCTATCTGCGATCAAGTACTAAATGAATCGGAAAAAAACTGTTAATTGTAAATTAATGAGCTAGTTGAGAACTAATTTTTTTAATTAGTAACTTTTTTTCGAATTTTGTAAATCTTATTTTCATTTATCTTTCACTTCATTGATTCACTGCTGATTTTTATTTAATTTTCCCACAATTCGTTCTATTAATCCAATAAAGGAAATAATTTCCTGTTTTGAAATTTTCTTCCAGAAAACAATTAACTTAATTATTAAATAAATTAATTAATGCAAGTAAATAAATAGTTAATAAATGTTTAATAAATAAATTATTTTTGCTAATTAATTATTAACTTCCGTTGTTATATGTAAATTGGGAAAGGCCCTAAAATCATGTGAGATTAATATAAGGTTATGTTATACTGCGCATGCGCCACCATAACGTTCATTGGCTCCGCATTTCGCGCTCTTTTTTCAAAAATCATACTTTTAAAAAATACCTAATCTTCTCGAACTAAATTTAAAAAATCCCTAATCTTTTCAAACTAAAATTGAACGAAACTAAATTTTCAAATGAAATTCCCCCCAAAAAAAGTAATTTGCTGCTACTTTTTTTTATCCCGATTTCATGATAATTAGCCGTTCGAAACAAAATCGGATGCGTGGTTTTCTCACGTAAAACATGAAACACGATGGAGAAAAAGAGGCAATCGGTGTTGTAGAATGAAAGGTAAGAGAGAGGGAGTGAGAGAGAGAGAGAGAAATGAGGAGGGGGGAGAGAGAAGGTGGGCAGAAAAGGAGGAGGGGGTTGGGGTTAAAATCAATAAAATCCCTAGTCCACGAACGACCGCATTCATCGGCTACCCCATTTCTACAACATATTTTGCAACCCCTGAACCACCCCCGTCATTCTCGTCAGTCTTGCTTTCCAGAGCCACACGACCGGCTCTCTTCCATTCTCTCTCTCTTTCTCTCTCTCCCCCCCACATACACTCCAAGCGGCCGCCTCATGAATTCTCCACGATACTGTTTGGGGGCCAGAGGGGACTCGCGGGGTAATGGCGGGCCGAACAAAATTAGTTACCGAAACGGCCGCCTGAAGGCGCTGTCGACACGTGTGCCGACGGTGGAGGCAGTTCGAGTTTGCGATACGACTGCCAGTTTGAAAACGCGGTGCCGCGCGAGATGATGTACGTTGTTTAGGTTCCCGTAGAGAGCGAGAGAGAGAGTTTTTTACCGGCTTCGTGATAATTTTCGCGCGTGACAAAGTGTTGTGAAAAAAAGGGTGAAAAATTTACATACCCAAAAAAAAATTGAAACACATGTAGTGAAGAAAAATAATTTTTTGGATCCATTACAAAAGTGCATTATTTTCATGTGCCAGTGTAGTTTTTTTTCAGTTTTTAAATGGTTATTGAAAAGTCATTTTAAAAAGTGAATGATATAGTTTTAAACCATTTTAGATAAAAATTGTCTCATATGGTCTTCAGTGTTTGTGATATCCAGTCCTTGGTGATTTACGGGACCGGTACTGAAGAAGGTATGAGGAATTTAACGCAATTATGTTTCATTATTTTTTACAACCTGAGTGAAACGGAATTATAGTGTTTAACCAAAGAGGAATTTATGTGTGTTACAAATAAAGTTATCACTTAAGCAAATGGATTATGAAGAAATTATTAAGTGTAGAAAGAAGATTTTTTTAGCGTACAAATTATTAGTGGGTGATTGAAATTTTGATAGTTGAAAACTATCCTAAAGATTATAACAAAAATAGTTTTTTCGCACTTGTGCAAAATTTTATCGAAAACAGTATTGTTAGCAGTCCTTAGTTCGCACTATCCTTTTGTCGATTGACAACACAATTCAACATCTATTAGGATTAAATATTTCCCCAAAGCGTTTCCATTTAGAAAACTTTAAATTCTGCAAATGTGGGAACATACAAAAAAGGATAGAGACGAATTAGCAGATTGTGTAGAAGAAAGTTTGAAGTTTGAAATCCCTTTAAGAAACTAAACTGGGAAAACGGATTTTTATTGATGGTGAACACTTGGAGAAAAATCCAATTATCAAAAACTGGATCAAAAACAGAATCGTATTCCTAATCCAAAACCGAATATTTCTGAAGTCAACAACCGTCCTAAGGATTTATGAGAATTTCTGAAAATTAGGAAACTTGTAGTTTGTTCCTAAGGAAAGCAGCAAAATGTCAAGTACATCCTAATTTTTTATTAGGTACCAGAAAAATGGCTAGTACAATCCTAATTTTTTTGTTGGTACCAAAAAACTTTCTAGTACTTCCTAACTTTTTGTTAGGAACCAGAAAAATTTCTAGTACAGCCTCTTAATTTTCTGTTAAGAACCAAAAATCTGTATGAAGTTCCTAACATATCCTAAAAATTCATCTACAATTATGGAACAAATTATTCCGTTTCTTTGACGCAGCAAATTTATTCCTTTGCACGAAAAGTCCTTCTTTTCGTCAGGCACCAAAAATTTCAAGGATGTTCGTATCCTAAATATTCAACTGCTTTTGGAGAAGAAGTTACACAGTTTGTTGTCACAACAAATTTTCCCTCCTGCACAAAAATTCCAAGCACGAAAAGTTTTCCTTTGAAGGAAAATTCCTAACTATTCCTTTAGAAAAGGGAATTCCTTCTTTTCCTAAAAAAAATTTCTAAGCTATTCGCAGTGTATCCTAAATATTCATCTGCTGTTACGGAACAAATTAAGCAGCACAAACTATTTGTTATGGAAAAAATAGATTGTTGCAGCATTTGTTGTTATCTCAAAAATTGAGATTAAGTGATTCGTTGGTGTTGTAAACTACTTGACTTGGTTCGTAATTTGTTCTAATGATAGTAGATTTTAGAGAAGAAAAAAATTTCTAATAACGAACCAAATTCTTTTGGTTCCTTCTGCGCGGTTAGTCTACACTGACTACTTAATCTCCTTGTCTCCTTTAATAACATCCTTTGCCTAATGATCCAGACTTTTGAAATATATCAAAATGAAATATTAAAAGTTTGGAAAAATTCAAGATGTTCGGAATTAGTGCATAAATCTTTTAGGTTTGGAACATATGTTTCGGTATTAACCACAGTGAATATTCATTTTTCTCTACGAGCATCAATAGTACAAGTAATGAAGCTATAAATTCTGATCATCTTCTGTTAAATACTCTATACTGCTAGATACTGAAGGTTAATGATACTAAATAATTTTTACTACCGATGAAAAATACTAAAGTAGTATCAAAAAAATCATCAAAAATACTATCAGAAATTGCACCAAAAATACCATCAAAAATTGCACCAAAAATACCATCAAAAATAGCACCAAAAATACCATAAAAAATAAGCACCAATAGTAGCAGCAAAAATAGTAACATAGTAGCATAAAAATAGTAACATAGTAGCATAAAAAATAGTATCATAGCAGCATAAAAAATATCAAAATTAGAATCAAAAATACTATCAAAGTAGAATCAAAAATATCAAATTTGGTAACAAAAATAGCATCAAATAAGCATTAAAAAATTCTATCAAAAAAGCACTAAAATAACATTAAATCAACAAATGAAATTAATCAAAGAAAACCTAAATTTCCAAATGTCAAAATTGCATATCTACATCGGTAATTCTTGGTGATACTTAAACGACAATCTAAACTAACGCGCAACAATATTAACAAGATTTACTCAACAATATTCGAACCAATTTCTGCAATATCTTATTCTTAATTACACCCTAGAGTTGACATTCCACCAACTGAAATGAATTTTATCTTGATTCAAGACACAAGGTTATAAATTTGATTCCACTAAATGAGCTCTACTCTTAATATATATGGTCATGAACCCTTAGAACATTCAGTGTTTGATCAATGATATTGAGTTGTAACAAAAACATCAAGTGGATAAGTCTGTGCAATCGTAAAAGTTCACCAAACAAAATTCAACTTTTAAATCGCTTTCAAACAAATAATGTTGAGGTTGAAGAAAAGTCCTTTTGAACCAAAAAAAACCAAAAATGGCATGTGATAAAAATTATAAAAAACCAAAATGAAAGAACCTTTTTAAAACAAAATTTTTTGAAAAACTGCTTTAAAAAATATTTTTAAAAACCGAATAATTTTTTTTAATTATCCTTTTTTTGCATATAGCAAAATATTAAAAATTAACGTATGAAAAAAGAAATATTCAAAAAGAATGTTAAAGTCAAAGAAAAAACTTAACTATAGATGTTCTCTTTAAAAATTAAAAGCAATGTAGAAGTACTCCAAAGGATGGTACATTGAATTAACAAAATTCTTAACATTTTTTTTTTGGCGAAACAAATTTGATGAAAAGAGTGAAAAAAACTTGTAATGTACGCCAACATTTTTGACAAATTCTGCAGTTTTTTTCATCAAGTTCTCATATTTATATTTTTGACAGAAATTTCATTAATTCAATCCTCTCAGTGCGAGTGAAAATTCTAAAAATCAGCGTCAGCTTTGCAAAATAAATGTTCCATAATTTTTTCCACTTGGAGAGAGTATTTTTTTTTTAAAGTTCTGCTTTGTAGAATATTCCATAATTCTTTCTACGAAAAAATTCTTTTTTATATTCTACTTTGCAAAGTAATACCATAATCCATAATATTATTCCTTTTACGTAGAAAGAATAAATTTTTTTACGTATATATAGAAAGAATTGTTCTTCATAGAAGAATATATATTTTTCTGAATATTTCTTTAAGAATTCTTTTTTAAGAATCTTTTTTAAAGATAATTTTTGTCGAGAATATTTTTTTATAGATTTTTTTTTCTAATATTTTTTTATGAATATTTTTTTTTAAATGTCTCTGAAGTTTCAAACGTTTAAATGAACGACAATTTTGTTTTATTTTTTCTTTTATTTTCGAGACTTTATTACAAAATATTGTACTATTAATAATTTTAATTTGTTAATTATTTTTAATTAATTTCCAACTAAATAAATTTTCAATTAGTATAATTTTCATTTCAGTCTAGTATTTATTGAAAATATTAGAATACGGAAAAATATTTCGTTATTCATTTGAACGTTCAAATATTAAGGAAAAGTTTTTAAAAATATTTTTTCCAAAGCAGTTTTTAAAAATAATTTTTCAAAATAGTTTATTTTTTTTAGTAACCAAATTGTCACCTACCTAATTTACTCTAATTTTTTCTCAAGAAGAACAGAATAGATAAAATTGAATAAACCTAACACTTTCGAAATTATCAAAAAGATAAAAATAAACTTTTGTTGATTCACTTGGAAGTAAACGAGCAACGATATGGAACCATATGTTCGAATCAGGAACAAGTTACAAGACGTTTTGTCAAATTTTAAAAGAGTCAACATTACAAGTCTACAAGAGTTTGAGTCGACAAGTATCTTAATCTTCAACAATCTAAACCTATACAAGAAAGCAATATACAAGAATCAAAATCTACAGGACAAAAATCTAAAACTACAGGAAAAAAAATATTTACCTGTAGCAGCTAAAAATTTCACTAAATTAGCGAAATTTTTAGTTGATTCTATTAGGACTTTCGCTATTCTAGATAAACATTTCGCTGTTCCAGGTGAATTTTTTTTCCGTATAGGTATAATATATAGAAAAAAAACCCATTCAAAAAATTTCCACGGACTCTAATTTTTCCCAAGGGAAAATTCTCATCAGACACAAATAAATAATAAATACGTTTCTAAATTATTTGAATTGTCAATTTTCCATGACATTTAAAGTTACATTATATACACAACGAAATAGCTAGTGCTTCAACATCCATCAATCATCATCAGTGCAAGAGCGCCTCTATATAACAGACAAAATAAATCGTGTGCCTTGAAAATGTCGAGGAAACATTGGAAACGAATTTCAGATCAAATACGAGAATTGTTAGAAAATAAAAATCAAAATAAAAGCAAGTAAATACAAAACACAACAGATCAATGTGTCGAAGTCTGTATAAAACTTGACGACAAATCGTTCCTGGGATAGATTTATTTAGTTTTCTTTTTTTTTGACAAAACGGAAACTTAATGGATGATGGTGATGATACATCACTGATGAATATATATATTTTAACAGCGCGACTTGAAAAAAAATACAATTTTACTCTCTGCCTCTCTCTCTCTCTCTCTCTCTTCCTTTCTTTTTTTCTATTTTTCTCTCTGCATAATAAATCAACGTCAATCCAAAATGACCGATATTCGAATTTTCAAAAATCATCCACAGATTTTTTTTCTCCAATTGGGTAAAAATCCCTAAATGTTCAATATTCTGTTGCTAAATATTTATAGTAAACGCTTTTTTCCCTTTACGCTAAAAATTCCTCTGGGAAAATTATTACGAAACTATTAAAAAAAAATTTTTCTATTAATTTTATTGAGAAAATTTTTTACTAAGGTATTTTATTAAGTTTCTTGAATTTAGCGTCGACGCTAAGTATCGAAAACAAATTTTTTTTAATAATTTTATTAGGAAAATTTATCATTAAATATATTTATTAAAATCCTTGAAG